CTCCAACCACGTGCCTCATCACATACAATGAGCCGTTTTGAAAAGCACCCTACGTCAAGGCTTCCCGGTGGAATCTCCGACCTGAGTCCGCACAGATGTGTGGGCCTGCCTTCTTCCAACCATCAGAGTCACTGATGCAGTAATTGTCGGCTATGCCGCAGCAGGTGCGGGTCATCTTAATCAACACCATAAAGCTGCAGAAATTTTCTGCTAGTACGGAAAGTCAGAAGAGTTTAGAAAGTGCCTTTGTGGGGAGTTCTGAAGTTCCAAATTCTGAGATCCGAATGATTTTGATAAGAGTAACTTTCCATGTTGAAGTAGGAGGCAGCTCTCTACAAGTGAGCGGAGGAAGCGCCACGGATTTTACGAATCCCTTGGTACGATAAAACTCCTACTATTTTGTAAGAAGTCCAACTCCGAAAGGGTTGACGATAAAGCATGCGCCGTTGAGCAGTCTCCTTTGGAGATGCTCTGCGCTCCTCTCCATTCAGAATTGTAGTGCTTTGTGAACGTGAACTTGCCTGTACACTGAGCTTTTTTGCTTGTTCTGATTCCAGTAAATCGAACTGGCCCTATAAATATTTTATAAGTACTTATCCTCCTATAATGGGGATGGCTCAGTGGCTTCGTCGCCCTGAATGGGATCCAATCTCGATGTTATCAAGGTCGTGGACGCTACTTGCAACACACCTTTCTATCTCAAAGTTCATGGTGGGGTGTACATAGAAAGGCAAAGATAGACTGCCTCGCGAGCTTTACGGGAATCTACGAAATGGTGACTTTTACGGAAATCTAGAAAAGTTGCTGTTTCACCACAGTGATGAAAAAAGGCCGAGGGTAATGCGTGGTTTACCATTCGGCAAGACGAATTAGGTTGATAGGTCTAGAACAACTCTTTCAGGAGGAGATGGTGGACGTTCCGTGAAAAATAGAATTTTCAGGTCAGCCATTTCACCGAGTCAGGTGTTATGACAGCTAAATGCTTTCGGGACATGTTGAGCTGCTTCTTCTTTGCTATTTATCTTTATCTCTTCTTTGGTATTTATCTTCTTTGGTATCTCAGGCTATGCTTCCAGTAACGGCACTGGAAGCTACTTCAAGCGAAAGCTTTGTTTTGATGAGGTAAGTAATAATCAGGTCTGCATAGCTTTGACCTTGCGAGGTTGAACTGTCCTTAAGTTACTGTTTGCGAATATGAAAACGTGGTGTCTGACTCACTTGTCTATCGTTTAAGCAGGGTAAACCCTCCCTCCGGACTACGAGCAGAAAAGGGGTCGACTTAGGTATGGGCAAGGTTGATCATCGTTTGGAACAGTGCGAGAGAGGGCTGTATTGGGAAGCTGAAATTTGATTGTGGTGCGACAAAGGAGGGTCGCTTTTGATGGGTTTAGACTCGATTTCGACGAAAGATGGAAACTCCGAACAGTTAGCATGAAATGGAAAGGTTAGGGTGATATGGTGTTTCATCAGATAGGTTGCCCCCCCCCCTCGCTCAACTTCTTGAAGGAAGAATTGGATGGAAATGGGCTATGACGACTGGTCCTAGGTCCTAGAATGCGGTCGTATCGAGATCACCTGGGAGGGGAAGTCGCTAAATTTGGAAAAATTGCGAATCCAACGGCTGACTTTGTCTACAAGCCCCTTTCCTGGAAATTATTTTTACATAATGAAAAATTGTTACAGCATAATAGATCACGGAAGCCGGTAGGAATACCTAGCCGCACCCGGACCATCCAGTTGACCAGTTATAAAATGAGACATCCAAGCCAAGATGGTCATATCTGAAATTAATAATTGATAAGTTATTCTGGGACTTGGCTTTTCAGAGCCCTCATTTATTTGCAGTGAACTGACCATCGTGAAGGCGCTTGTCCCATTAGGGAAAACCTGTACAGATTTCTTGAAATTTAATGGGTATCAATTTCCTTCCATCTCCTTCCATGTTTATGATAGGTCATCCATTTAAATTCACGACGGTATCTGGGTAGGGAGGCAAATATACTTGAATTATAAGATGCATAGCGCTAATTAGCTCATGAAGTCTGAAGTAAAGCGTATATATCGCATTAACAAAAACTTTGGAAACCAGCCATCAGTCTTTAACCCTTTGGCGATAGTGGCATCCACTGATGGGTGCCACCTCAGAACTTTCTTGATTGCGCATTTGAAACAGTCCTAACGTCCCCGTAATTTCAAGCAAGCTTCAAAACAGCTATGTTTAGCATGGTTCACAATGTTTCACAGAAATGTTCAGTAAAAGCTGCTTTACATGAAGTGTGGCATTTAGCTTTCCTGCATAATAATATAATGTTTTTCATTATAAGGCTGAAGATTAGCTACCGATCACGACTTTTTCGCACTTTCATAGTCTTCAGACATCTATTGTAGCATAAACTGAGAGTTTTTGCCCTCCATCCAAGTTCACCTTCCAAACTCTTATTCTCTTTCCAAAAATAAGAAATATGAAAGTTTAAAGCTGCAGTTGTCTTATTTACCTCGATGGTCAAGGATTTGATCGAGAAACTGCTTCTGGAAACAATTCTGCTTGAGGTACAGCGCGAGTGAGGCGTGCCGAAAAGAGCCTGGTCCCGCTAGCCCAATGCGTGCAAATCCGCATTGTCGTCAAAGGTTGAATAACCTGCATAAGCAGCATATCGGTGTTTCACTTTCCAAGAGGACTGTGCAAACAATTAGTTCACTGTGGTGAGATGGGATGCTTGTTTGGCTTGGACAGAATTCGATCTGAAATTCGATCGTAGACTGTGCGCATTGGGAATGCCCCACTTGCCATTGTACCCCACAGATCCGAAACTTTATCCCAGGGACAAGCTATAAGTGAGAATCTAATAGGTTGTCTTCCAAGCGTTGTGAAGCTCCAGAGATGGTGACAGCCGTGTATTGGAATTCACCAAAATCAACAAGTTTGCCGTTTCATCAGCATGATGAATTGAGGCCGAGCTCAGTACGTGGATATTAACCGCAAAGTGCAGTGAACACTCATCATCAACTGCTGTCCATGAGGATGAGGTACAGGCACGTATATTGTGGAATGTCTTCATGGTAATCAATGATCCACTGATTAATTTAAAGCATATACTTTTTTCCCTCCAGCTACATTCTTGATGCGAGAACTTTCTGTATTGGTACTCCATACAATAGAGCGATCACTTCCAAATCTAATAGGTGACGCGTTTCCTGAGCACTGATCTCTGTTAGCCTGAGATCTCCGACCTTAACCAGACCAGATGTGGCAGCCGACTAACTGTCGCTTCTCCTAATCATCCGAGTCACTGGTACGCATTAGCTGTCGGCTATATCGCGCTATAGGTGCGACTTCAATCAATATCATGAAACTGCGGAAATTTCATGAATGTGTAGAAAATTGGAAGTGTTCAAGATACTCATACAGGACACTTTTGAAGTTCTGTTTTGAATGCAGAAAATAACCCTCGCATTCGCCTGTTTCCAAAAAATTCACTCCCCCTATCCCCAGCATCTACGTATAGCTACCCCCCTCCCCCCCCCCGTTCCCGACCGCCACTTAAGGGGGTCACCAGGCTTGATCCTGCACCACTCCCCACTGCCATCACCACCATGGCTGTTCCTATATTATATTTGGTTCCAAGACCCGTCAAGAAACCAACTCCGCCGACGTCCCCTCCACCCCCGAACGGTACCGTCAAAAATGCATCAGAAGCACGATCCCTTCAGCTTCCATAAACACGACTCCCCTTCCCCGCACTCCCGCTCTTTTCGAAGCGACTCCCTCCACTCTTGACTCGGTCGGACCAGCAGCTGACCCTGGCAGGAAAGAACGCCGAGTTGGTGTGCTCTGAAACGTACTGGTGCGGGCTATGTGCAGCATAGTATGATTATTTGTTCTGTATAGCTCAGCCGAATGTATTTCTCGCTCCGGTCACCAGAGAACATCTAAGTACGAGAACGAGTACTTTTACTTACGGCGAACGACATAAATAAATAGCCTTCCATGCATTGCTGAGATCCGAGGATTGGGGGGTGGCAGTGAGTTGCTTGGCGTTGGCCAGAAGTCGAAAAATTTTGCCGTTCGTCGAAATGACAAAATCATGTGCGTTTAGTGCGTGAGCATACCCAGAGACAAAAAGTCCGCTAATCCGATAAGCTACATAGGGAGGCGTTTTGGACGTTGAAGATTCAGTGGTTCAGTTTACCAGTGTCGTGACGAGGTTGTCGCTCGTCTCGATGTGTTTACAAACCTGTTTAATAACCGTGTGTGTGCTGATGAGCTATGGTAAATATACCATGAAAAGCTGAGTTGGGATGAAATGGTGCCCCGGTAGCGTAACTGGTAGCGCACTTGCCCGGAAAGCGAGAGGTGCGGGTTCTAGTCCCGCCTGGGGCGAAAGTTTTGTTCACAACCCAGCATTCTTGTGAAACTTTCAAGGAAAATATCCACGAAAAAGGTCGTGGTCCGTTTACGGCACAAAACATGCCTTGAACAACATGTAGATGTCGGTTATGTATGCTTAATAAATACAAGGTTGGCTTGAATTTACTCTAAAACACAGAACAAGTTCCGAAATCCACTGATGAATCATCAGTTCTAGGTAACAATTCACTGTTAATTGAAAAATGATATTCAACATATGCATTCAAGTATGCCTCCACCAATTTGATGTAGGATCTTTAGTCGTTCGATGGAGGCATCAGCCGTTGCAGGCAGGTGCCTTTCCGCACTCAGCCAAATCGTCTTGACAATTCATTTGTTCTATAAAAAACCCCGATGTTGAGTAGTCCTTTTGAAATTCAAATATATTGAAGGAAAGAAGATGCAGTGGACTTGTGTATATTTGAGAAATAGAAGTAAGGCGCAGTCTGGAGAAGCCATCTGTTACTTCAGTGATCGTCGGGTAGATTCGCGTCCATCCCTTCGTCAACTGACCATCCAGAACTATGATTTTAATTAGTCTCACTCAATACCGAATGATTTTAAGGGATGGGTAATCATCACTAGGCTCCACATGGATGAGCAGGTGGGTTCTGTGCCTCGATTATACTCTTTATCTCTCTTTGTTTTGTTTATACTTTCTATACAACCTGATATGAACAGCTCTTTCCATTTTTATGAGTCGGATCTTGAAGGGTAATCCATAAAGTACTCGGCGTTCTCCCAACTCGCTTCCAAGGTGTGCCACAAATTCGACCACCATTCAGGAGCATGGTGATTTGTGTACACTCTGTTTCATGCAGCCAGAAACCCACGTGGCACACGTGGCCAAATCCTCGATGAGAAGGTGACGTCATGTGTGCTCAAAGATGTTTTTG